TTTTGCGTCTATATTCATGAAGGATATTGGTCTGTAGTTTTCCTTTTGAGTGATGTCTTTGCCTGGTTTTGGTATCAAGGTTATTCTTGCTTCATAAAATGAGTTAGGGAAGATTCCATTCTTTTCTATGTTTTAGAATAGTTTGAGTAGGATTGAGTGTTTTGTAGAATTCTCCAGTGAAACCGTCTTGAACACTTCAACCATTATTTTAATTTTGCCTGTTGGCTGGGGCTCTGAGGCTAGCAGTTGTAGCTCAGAGCAGCAGGATCCAAGCTTGGCTGAGTATTAGGAACCACCCCAGCATTCTCCTTCACATTTGTCTTGGCAGCTACAGATAACAATAACCAAGGGACCGTATATCTAGCTTGTTTCTTGTTATGTTGCATTTTCTCCTGTGTCCAGTGAGTCACATCCCTAGGAGTCAGTGCCATCCTTTCTAAATTATGTTTGTAATTTTTTAGCTCTGGTTACTGAAGGCAGCATGGCTGCAGTCTCATTCCTAGGGTGACCCTGCTGACACCTTGAAATCAAATGTTTGTCATCCTCTGCCCTCTCATCCTTCCTCTTCCAAAGCACACTTCAGTGAGAGCAGTGCTCCGTTGTTGTTGCTGCTGTTGGCCCCCACGTCATGGTGACCTCATCACAGTGGAACTAAGTGCTGCCCGGTCATGTGCCATCCCGTCTGACTGCAGATCAGATCACTGATTGTGACCCACACACTTTTATTGGCTGATAAGATTAGGGAGAACCCAAAATTCCCCTCACTTCTGACACCAGCTGCAAGTTCAAGGATGCCCAAGACTGCCTCAGGTTCAATCTTAAAAAAAAGACACAGAACTCGTTGAAAACTAGTTCATAGTCATAGTTACGGTTCATTGAGGGAAAGGATGCAGATTAAAATTGGCCAACAGAAAAAACAAAAAGGAAATAGTCCAGAAGAAGCATGAGAAGTGGAGTTCCCATTGTCCTCTCCCCATGAAGTCGGGATATTATTTTTTCAGAATCAGTGTGTGACGGTACCCACATTGTCAACCAGGGAAGTTCACTGCAGCCTCCGATTGCAGTTGTTACTGAAGCTCCATTACATGGGCATGACTGACTGACTGACTGACTGACTGGCTGCCCACGTGGTGGATCTGAGTCTCCAGGCTGTGCTTGGAGTGTCTTCTGCCACAAGAGTCCTGCCCACTGCCTCACCACTCCTGCTCTATCCACAGGACCCAAATCTCCCACCCTGAATCATATGGCTGGTGTGGGTCCGAGCCCTGACTCTGTTTCACATGGATACTGTCTGGGTAGCCTAAGGCCCCCAGACCAACCAAGACCTTAAAGATCACCTCTCAGGAGCTTGGTGAAGAGCTCAGTCCTCTCTTTGGGTTAAGTCAACTCTTCACCACAATAATATTATTAATAATAATATTAATGATAGCTGTGTTTGAGCTCAGGATTTCAGCCCAGGCTGGGAAAGAGTTGGGGGTCACATTGGCCAGTGACAATCTTGGGAGTGAGGACAGGGTGACTTTCCCTTCCTCTGTAGACAGGCCAGGCTGTGGCCATGACCTCTCCCTGCCTGCTCTGGGCCTGGCTCAGTGCCCTCTTCCCCAGCAGGAGCTTAGCTGGCCATGCCCAGGTCCCACTCCAACACTTTCCATGAGCGTCTAAGACAAGGTCTATGAGGGTCCCTATGCCTGGTGGACTTGGCTCCCTACTTCTTTCCCCAGAACCCCTTGGCTCACTCTAGTCCTGGGGTAATGGGCCCAATCCTGGATGACCCACGTCACTGTGGTGCTTAGAGGTAGCCATGCTGTCCCTGGACCCCAGGCCCTGGCTGGACACTAGGGAAATGGTGCCTCCTTTGCCCTCTAGGTCCTCCCTTGAGGGCCTCTGTTTCTTGGTAAAAGAGGCCCTGTAGGGGCAGTGGGTAGAGAGGAGGAGGAATGGGAGGAATACAGGGTGAGGGGAGGGAGAGGCAGGGGAAGGGGCCCCAGTGGAGCTGCGGTCCCCTCCCTCTCTTCTACAGCTAGAGGCCTGGAACCAGTGCTCTGCCGGGAACCACGGGAGCAGCATGACAGGCCCGGGAGCACAGGAGCCCAAGCCCCTCTCCCTCTGGGAGACTCAGCGGGAGCTCCTCCTAGCTCCCAGCAGCCCCACAGCTGGGCCTGGCTCTGCAGATGCGGCCACCTGCTTCTCTTGTTGCTGGAGCCCCACAAAGGGCCCCCCACCCCAGGGTCCCAGTCGCCTCCGTCTGCTTTTGGGACACAGTGCCTGGCAGAGGCAGAGTGACAGATGTGGCTCCCAGCCTGTGTTCCTCCCTGGGAGCCTCTGCACACTGTCCTGTGTGTCTTGCAGGAGGGGTGATAATCGTCCTCTCCAAGGTGTGCCCTCACTGGAAGGGGCACCTCAGAGCCAGTGTGGCCCATGCAGCAGCCCCCTCTGCTCAGCCTTGGGGTCCCCTTTCCTTTCTCTGGCCAGGAGTTGTGGTCCTAAGGGTGAACTCTCTGGGCACAAGACGTGCGGGGTGTCTGGGGAGCTTCAAGGCCACGGCAGTCGTGCGGATTAGCCACCTGGAGACCCCCGGGCTCCGTGGCTGGCGGGCCACCTCCCTGCCCTACCCAAACCGGCCAGGGGCAAAGCCCCAACTCCCAGCCCAGCTCGGAGGGCCCCCAGTCTCGCCTACCTGCTGCAGCTACTCCAGTTAGGGTTAGCCCCTGCCACCCCACCTCCCGGAGGTCCCTTGCCTTCCCCCTTGGCAGTCCCTACGGCCCCTCCCTGCAGCTTCTGACCCTGCCTTCGGAAGCAGCAGTACCCCTAGGGCTCTGCGCCGACGGAGCCGGCTTGGCTGTGGGGACACAGATGGGACCCCGGGTGGCAGCACGCGGAGGGCGGCACACAGGGCCGTCCGTCTGGGTTGTGTGCGTGTTGGGGACGCGCCCCCGGTCCGGCGTCAGCTCCACGGGGACGGCGGGGTGTCTGGTTATTCCCGGCGCCCAGCACCCACAGCAGGAGGAAGGCCGGGCCCAGGATGAGGCCTGGCTCCCCAGGACCCCCCCCAGAGCAGTCGCTGCGAAGACAAGGCCCCTCCCCGCCCAGCCCGGGGTCAAGGCCGGCCGCGGTGGCCCAGCGCCCTCTCCAGGGGAACGCCAGGACCCGCCGCACGGGTCCTCCCGGAGCCCGGAACCTCCGGGACCGCCCGCCCACAGCCTCGGGGCAGAGAAGCGCCGGCCCCGCCCGGCGCGTCACGTGGGCCCTCCCGCCACGTGACCCGCCACGTGACTCGCGTCCTCCGGCACCGCAACCAGCCATGAGGCCCGAGCTGCGCGCCGGGGCGGCCCTGTCCTGGGCCCTGGCCCTGCTGCTGGCGCTGGAGGCGCGCGGTCCCGCGGCCCAGGGTGAGGCCGGGGTGCGTGTGGCGCGGACCCCGGCCCTGCCGCCGCGGCGTCTCCCCGCCTCACTGTCCCCCCACAGCCCACAGGGTCGCAGACCCCGGCTTCCGGGAGGGCTACTTCGTCCAGCTGCTGGACCACTTCAACTTCGAGAGGTTCGGCCGCAAGACGTTCCGCCAGCGCTTCCTGTGGTCCGGTGGGTCCAGCCCCGCGCCGGGCCGTGGGGCAGCGGGGACCGCGGGGGGACCCGGGGGGGCCGCGCGGGCCTGCGGCTGGGAGATTCTGGGCAGAGCCCGCGGGCCGACCCCTGCCGCCTCGGCTCCGCAGAGAAGTTCTGGGAGAGACACGAGGGGCCCATATTTTTCTACACCGGGAACGAGGGAGACGTGTGGTCCTTCGCCAACAACTCGGGCTTCATCCTGGAGCTGGCGGCCCGGGAGGCGGCCCTGGTGGTCTTCGCGGAGCACGTGGGTATCGGGCCCCCGCGGGAGGTGCCCGGGGCAGGCGGGGTGCGAGTCAGCGCCTGCCCTGTCGGCCACAGCGGTACTACGGGAAGTCGCTGCCGTTCGGGGCGCAGTCCACGCAGCGCGGGCGCACGGAGCTGCTGACGGTGGAGCAGGCCCTGGCTGACTTCGCGGTGCTGCTGCAGGCGCTGCGGGCGCGCTTCGGGGCCCTGGACGCCCCGGCCATCGCCTTCGGCGGCAGGTGGGCCCCGGGCGCGCGGGCAAGGGCCCTCGGGGACGCGCCGGAGAGCACCGTCCGCCTGCTGCCCACGCACGGGTCCGGGTCCCAGCTGACCCGCGGAGCATTCCGCCTGCCCCGTCTCTGTCCCCCCAGGCTCGGTACAGCCTCAGCCCGTGCCATGGGGGCCGTTCTGTTCTCTGCATCCTCGGTTCCGCCACCTTCCCTCTACCCAACTCCCCAGGCTGAGGCCCCTTCCTCCTGGCAGCCCACCTTGCCTTTCCCCCATGGCCCTCGTATCCCAGGCAAACTAGTGGGGAGACCCTCTCTCAATGCAGCTGTGCCCAGCACTGATTGGCTTTCATGGGGTTCTCCGGGTGCTTGTGGGTCTCAGAAAGTTCTGGGTCCTCCTTGAGGGCACCCATGGGCCTCTGAGGAGAGAAAGTCGGGCATGGGTGTGGGGGGCAGGACTGGCCCTGGAGCCACTTGGGCCTGTAGGGAGGTGCTGTGGAGGTGGGCCGGCTGCCATGACCCTGTCCCCCCCAGTTACGGGGGGCTGCTGAGCGCCTACATGCGGATGAAGTACCCCCACCTGGTGGCGGGGGCCCTGGCAGCCAGTGCACCCATTGTCTCTGTTGCGGGCCTTGGGGACTCCTACCAGTTCTTCCGAGATGTTACTGCAGTGAGTCCTGGGGCTGGGTGAGGGGTGGGGGGCTGTGGGGGTCTGGGAGCAAAGAGGCAGGGGCCGTGGGGATCAGGGACTGGAGGGGCGGGGGGCTGTGGAGTGGCGACAGCCGGTTCCCATTCTCTAGGATTTTGAGGGCCAGAGTCCCAAGTGTGTTCAGGGTGTGCGGGATGCCTTCCAGCAGATCAAGGACTTATTCCTCAAAAAAGGTAAGGGCCACCCGCCCCCCCGTTGGCCTCCCCCAGCCAGCCACCCCCTCCTATGCCGGCCGCCCACCTCACTCCCTACAGCCTCCCACATCCTGCCGGCCTGCTCCCCTCCGGCCTGCCCCCCGCCCCGCCGGCCACCCCCTACCTGCTGCCCATGCCCTCCCCTGCCCCCTCAGGCCGGTTCTCTGCCTGCTGTTGCCCTCCCTGCCATCTGCCCTCCTGCTGCCCCCACCTCATGGCCCTCCAGGCCCCCCAGGCTGGTTCCTGCTCCTTCCCCACAGACTACGACACTGTCAGTCGGGAGTTTGGCACCTGCCAGCTGCTCTTGGGCAAGGACCTGACGCAGCTGTTTGAGTTTGCCCGAAACGCTTTCACCGTGCTGGCCATGATGGATTACCCATACCCCACGGCCTTCCTGGGCCCACTCCCAGCCAACCCTGTCAGAGTGAGGGCCCATCCTTGCAGTGGGCGGACAGTGGGGGCCTGGCTGAGGAGGGACGGAAGGAGGGGCGTCTGGGGTGAGGAGGGGCTGTGGCTGAGAGTGGGCCGCCCCTCAGGAGCCCCTTCCCCCTAGGCCGGCTGCGACCGGCTGCTGAGTGAGAACCGGCGGATCCCAGGGCTTCGTGCGCTGGTGGGTATGTCTCATCTGGCCACGGGGGGGAGCGGGAGGCTGCGGCTTCTCACAGCAGAGGGTTGGGGGGCAGAATCAGGGTGAAGACCAAGATGACTGCGGGGGTGGGGAGCAGACCTCTCCACTGTCCCCAGGCCCAGCATGAAGGGGTGCTACTCAAGGCCTCTGGGGTCCCCAGACACGAAAGGAGCAGGAACAGGGGTGGGCAGCCGGCCTGCCTCAGGCTCATAGATGCCATCCCCCATCGGGCATGACCTTCAGAGGGGCCCTGTGTGTCCCTCCAGGGCTGCTGTACAACTCCTCGGGGACTGAGCCTTGTTACGACATCTACCAGCAATACCGCAGCTGTGCCGACCCCACCGGCTGTGGCTCTGGCAGCGACTCGGAGGCCTGGGACTATCAGGTATGGAGGTGGGGTGGCTGTGGAGCGGGCCACCCTGCCCGGCCTGACCAGCAGGGGGGTGTGCCTGCAGGCCTGCACCGAGATCAACCTCACCTTCGCCAGCAACAACGTGACAGACATGTTTCCTGAGCTCGAGTTCACAGAGGCACTTCGCCAGCAGTACTGCGAGGACACGTGGGGCGTGTGGCCCCGGAGGGACTGGCTGAGGACCAACTTCTGGGGGACAGGCATGGTCAGGGTGGGGTAGGATCCCTCCCTCTGCCTTGGCTCAGCCCTGTCTTGGCCAGTGACCTTGAGGGCCAGATGCCCACTCCTATCCCTGAGTGTCTCCATGCGTCATCAGTTTTGGAGGTCCTGCTGGTCCCTCACCACCCCTGCTGTGTCCCTTTCAGACCTCAAAGCTGCCAGTAACATCATCTTCTCCAATGGTGACCTGGACCCCTGGGCAGGGGGTGGGGTGAGTGGTCAGAGTCTGTCTAGTGGGTCTTGGTGGGCTCCCACCTCTGCTGTCTGCAACTGTGGCCCCTTCAGTCTTGTTACCACACAGGGCTTTCCTGGCTGGTGCTGCCAGAGCTCCAGCTGCTTTACAGGAACCGTTCTGATTTGCTGGCCTTTCCTATCACACCTTAGTTGTCTGCTGGATTTATTTTTGCTGTTTTCTCCTCTCCTTTTATGGTTCTTGTTTGGTTTCCTGACTTACCTGGGTATCTGCCTTATTAACCTGCACCTTCCCATTTCTACTTGAGTGTTCAAAGCTACACGACTCAAGTTACTGCTTTGGCTGCACCTCATGAGCTGTTTGGTGTGGTTCAAAGCTCTACAGTGGGGACACCCTGATGAAGTGTTTCCCTCACTGACAACAGATACGGAGCAACCTGAGCAAATCTGTCATAGCTGTCACCATCCAGGGGGGAGCCCACCATCTAGACCTCAGGTGCGGCCCAGCCCTGCCACTGGGGGATTTCCTGGGGGGTGGGGGTGGGGTGCTCTGTGAGGTTCCCTTCTCTTCCGGCTGGGTGCAGGTGGGGCTAGGGGCTCACCACACTCATCCTCACAGCCCATGCCTGGTGCTTGCTCCTCAGGGGGTCCAACCCAGCAGACCCCGTGTCAGTCACAGAAGCTCGGAAGCTTGAGGCCACCCTCATCCACGAGTGGGTGAAAGCAGCCAGGGGGGAGCAGCACCCTGCTCAGCCACAGTTGGCCCCACAGGGCTCAGGGGCTGGGGGACAGCCCCTCTTCTAGTCCTGTCCCCAAGGGAGGAGAGCGGACAACTTGAAAGGGGAGGGGTCTCAGGTTCTACCACCAGAAGACCCCACACGGTGAGCCTCGGCTGGGCCCTCCCACCACGGGCTGATAAAATCTTGTAACCTGTGGCGGCTGGAGCTGAATAAAGTGTCCAGTAGTCTGGTCAGGAGTGGCTTGTTCTCTCTGGGAGGGTCGTGTCACAGCCACTGTTCCAGGCCCAGGAGGAGGGGGACCCTCATTAAAACCCTTAACTGTGGACGAGCCCCCCCCCCCCCCGGGTGCAGACACCAGCCCCCATGGCTGAGGGTCCTCGGGCTATCAGGGCAGAACCTGAGCAGGTGCCTGTTTCAGCCTTCTCTACTCAGCCCTCCTTGCCGTGTGGGGAAGGGGTGCTAAGAGGGAGTGCTGTCCAAAGGAAATGAAAACATCTCGGTCTCTTAAAATAAGCGACACATTTAATAAAACAATTTGCAACTCTATTTGGTGACAGGACGGCAAAGATGCCGCCATTGCCAGTAAGGCCCTGCTTCTGTGCAGGAAGCTGCTTGACTGCGACCACGCCTGTGTCGCAGGGGCAACCCCAGGTCTGGCCTGGCCTGTTCGCGCGAACAGAGCCCCCCGGGGAGACTGCTGTCCTGGCAGCATGGCCCCCAGGACCCTGGTCCTTGCTGTGGCCCGTGAGGTGGAGACTTGTGCTATTCTCAGGATAGCAGCCACAGGCACCACCTCCAGACCCCACTGAGATCCTGAAGTCGGGGTAACAAGGCCTCCCTGCCCACTGCCACCTTGATCCCCACTTCTGGCCTTCATGGGGACAAGGGCCACAGCAGAGCCCATGCACCCTCCTGGGACGGCACACACGGGTCAGGAGAGAAAGTGCCCAGAGCAGGGCTGCAGGCACCGTGGGCTGCCTCTGCCCTGAAAACTGGGGACAGAGAGGGGCATGTCCAGGACACCCCTCAGACCACAGCAGAGCCAGGAACAGTACCCTGTGTGAGTGAGTGGATTCTATGTTGCACATGGGGCTGGGGGACAGGAGGCGGCAGAGCCAGGATGCCTAGAGGGGTCTTCGGCTGGCAGGGAGGGGATACAGGTTAGAACAGGAGGCTGCACCCACTACCAGGGCAGACAGACCCAGCAGGCCACCTGCCCACCCAGGCACAGGGCCCAAAAGGGAGCGGGTAGCTGCTGCCAGCCCCTGGGTCCCAGTAGACGGTGCAAGGCCCACACAGCCACTTCCCTTCCCCTCCAGCGACCCACACGCGTCACAGGACCAGGCACCACGTGTCGGCCCCATGGGAGCAAGTCCATTTCTATCCGTTTTAAAAGCCCCGCTGTACTGGGCAGCTGGGAGCAGGATGAACGTGACATCCAGCCCTCTGAGCCCTGTAGGGCGGCGGGGATCCCTGAGTCCAACGTGCAAACACGAGCACCAGCCCTAAGCCCGATGTCCCCACGGGGTGCCACTGCCACTCCCGCCCCCAAGACCCCTGGGCCAGGCACTCAGTTCCTCTTTGAACAGGACACAGCGGCCCGGGCCCAGCACAGGTGGGAAGATCTGGCCCCAGAACCACAAGTCTTGATTTGAGTGGGCCTCAGGACAGAGGAAGGGGTCCCGGTGGCTAGGCCACCAGGATTGCACACCTGATGTCTATTCTTCCACGGCCCTGATGACCCCTGACTAGGAGGCACAGAGGAATCAGCAGCCAGCTGCCTTGAGGCAGGCTCACCGGCTATGTCCCAGACTGAGCTGGAGCCCACCGGCCAGCAGGGCCAATAGGAGACCCACGGCCAAGGTCAAGGATGTGGATCTTCCCAGGGCTGCTCCAGATGTCAGACCCCGGTGGCCTCCAACCACTGCTCCTGCCTGGGTCCCCAGGCCCTAAGTGGGAGTCCAGATGGGCAGGGGGTGGGCCTCAGTGTTGAACACATAGGTGTCCAGGCTGAGCAGGTCTGTGTCATCGGAGAAGAGAAGGAACAGGTACTTGAGCGTTTCTCCCAGAAAGAAGCTCTCCATTTTGTCCCTTGGGTCTGGCTTCTGGGAATCCTGGACGTTGTTGATGGAGGAGTAGCCACCTGTGGGGACCTGCACAGATCCCACGGCTGGGTCACCAGGCACCAAGGCACGCCCCACCCCCAGCCCAGGCTGAGCCCCTGGAAATGCCAACCCCCTGCAAAGACTCAAACACCCTTGAGCACCCACCACTCGTGAGTGTCCCCCACCATAAGCGTCCCCCTGATGACCATCCACCCCGAGTGTCCCCACTCCGTGAGCACCCCCCGGGGCCTTGGATCTCAGTGGACAGTGTAAGGCCCCACCATGACACCGTGAGGGTCCGTTCCAAGCATCTACCCCTGTGACGGTCCATCCCCTCAAGCATCCAACCCCAGTGCACCCCCCACAAGTGTGCATCCCCCGCCCATGAGAAGATGTCCTAGAGTCTCAGCTGTCCCTGCGGCACGGTGACCGGACGGCCCGAGGACGGCAGGCAGCCTCACCCGTGTGTAGGCGTTGAAGCTCTGCAGGAGCTCCCAGCCCCAGTCCTGGTACTTGCTGTCCCCCGTGCAGCGGTACAGGTAGAACAGACTCTCCACTGTCTCTGGCCGCAGCAGGTTGTGCCTGTCCGCCGGCTGCAGGGAAGCGCGGGCTTAGCAAGGCCCCTGGTGTGCAGGCTGCCCCCGGGCCCACCAACGCTCACCTTGACCTCCACGTCCTTGTGGCCCTCCTGGGGGACCATGTTGAAGTGGGCAATCTCCGGGCTGAGCCCCGTCTCCATCTGGCGGTTCATCTGGTAGCAGGTTTCCATCAGTGCCTTGGCCAGGTCCATGTGCTCAGCTGGTAGCCCATGGTGGGCCCCCAGAGCCAGTGTCCCTGGCAGGAAGCATACCAGGTGGTCCTGGAAACCAGAGGGTCCCTCACCTCTGCCACCTTGGTGAGTGGGTGGGTGAGGTGTGCAGAAGAGCCAGCAGGAGGCCAGGTGCAGAGTCCACCCCACTGTCAGCTGTCAGCTGGAGGTCATGGCAGGAGAGGGACAGGAGCAGCGGCCACTGCGGCAGAGCCTCCCGACCAGTTCTCATCATGTGCCCGCCCCCAGCACCCCGGACCTCCGCCGTCGGCCCTGTGCTGGGACAGGCTCAAATATGGAACCAGGATGGCCCTGCCTCCATGAGACTCAGAGCAGTGAGACAGGCCCTCGCATGGACAGCATCCTAGAGCCCAGATATTGGTCAGCACTCACCATCTTAGCACTAAAGCGGCCGTGGGCCAGCTCCCCAACAAAAGTGAGCTTGCTGGGTTCCGAACGCCTCAGCAGGTGCCTCTTCACACCCTCGATGGCCTCCACATAGTCCTCCAGCAGCCTGTGGGTGAGCGCCGCACCGTTCCCCTCAGACAAGAGGCCCAGCCCCCACCCCCACCTGAGTCCCAAGGGAACAGACACTGAGTATCCTGGCCTGGGGGGAGTCTTCTTGGGAAGGGTGGATTGAGGGGCAGTGCTTCCTGCTCCCCAGAACAGGGTCCTCAGTCACAAGCGGTCCTGACAGTTAGCTTGGCCTGAGACATGCCTGTCCTGAGCCCAGAGGACCTGTCTCCTATCCACAGTCCCTGGATGCCTCCACCCCGGGTATGTCAGGCTCCACAGACCTGGGATGGCCATGCTGCCAACATTGCAGAGGTCTGGCTGCTGCCATGCCTGGGTGATGCTCCCCATGAACCATGCTGGGGCTTCCAGCAGGGCCACCCCAGATGTCCACAAGGATCAACAATGGCTACCCCAGGTCTGAGACGTCAGTGACCAACGATCCCTTACAAGAGCTAAGCTGTGCTGTGCTCTGGAGAAAAATCCATCCTGTCCAACCACAGCAAGGTGGGTGGGCGCCCCTCCGTAGCATGTGGACAGCCTGTAGGGCCCGTGGCAGGAGCCAGTGTGAGCACCCCTCCACAGCGTGTGGACAGCCTCTGGGGCCCGTGGCAGGAGCCAGTGTGAGCGCCCCTCCACAGCGTGTGGACAGCCTCTGGGGCCCGTGGC